CTTGCTTGCATATTTATTCCTGCCTCTGGAAACTTCCATTACATGCGTCTGACGAAGTGGGCATTCACCCACGAAAGCTTATGCTCCAATACATCTGTTAGTCTTAAAGGTGCCACAGGACCCTCTGTTGCTTTTTACAGATCCAGACTAACACGGCTACCCCTCTGATTTTTAGACTTATCAGCTAGCCAGTTTTTAATCCATTTAATGTGTGCTGTGATAATTTGTATCCTTCTAATTTCTAAATCCAAGTGCTATATATCAACTCAAATACTTCACAGAAAACACTATTACCTTTTTCAATCAAACTTACCACCTCATCAAAAAATTATATCAGGTTAGTTTGACAAGATCCATTTTCGATAAAACCATGTTATTTATATAATCCTCCTCTAATTATTATTTAATCTAGAGAACATAAGAACAGCCATACTGGGTCAGACCAATGGTCCATCTAGCCCAGTATCCTGTCTTCTAACAAGGGCCAGTGCCAGACACTTTAAAGGGAATGAACAGAAAGAGGCAATTTTTGAGTGGTCCACCCCGTGTCATCTACTCCCAGTTTCTGGCAGTCAGAGGCTAGGAACTCCCAGAGCATGAGGTTGCGTCCCTGACTATCTGGCTAATAACCACTGATGGACCAATCCTCCATGAACTTATCTAATTCATTTTTGAACAGTTATACTTTTGGCCTTCACAACGTCCCCCAGCAACAAGCTCCACAAATGGACTGGGTTGTGTGAAGAAGTACTTTATGTTTATTTTAAACTTGCTGCCTATGAATTTCATTGGTGACCCCTGGTTCTTGTTGTGACGGGTTGGATCACAGAAACCCCCTTGGGAGCTGCCACCCGATGTGCAAAGACTACCCCTGCTTCTGTTTTCCCTGCCAGCTCAGGACTCCAGCACCCTGTCTTGCTGAGCCAGACACTCCCGTTTGGCTCCAGACACAGATCCAGGGTCTGAATCACTTGTCCCCAAAGCTGCAGGTTACCTAAAAACAGCTTACAGAAGTGCGCTTGTCTTTAGCACTCAGATGCTC